GATACATTATAATAAATTTTAGTAGCATATATATAATTAAGTATAAAAGTTATTCAGGTAACACAGGTGAGATTTTTGAATTTCTAATTATAATATATAAATATAGCCATATATGGCAATATTTTTAACACTTTATAATATTTATTAGATTTTATCATTGAACAAATTTGTTTAATTTAACTTCAAATTGCAATTTATAAGAATTATATTTTTAGAAATCATAGTTTATATCAAATTTTTAAGAATCACTTTACGGTACTGAGAAGTTTACAAATATATTTTTAAAAAACTTAGGTCACAATAAATATTAATATCAAAGGGTAATTATAGAAATAACAATACTACAAAATTTTTTCTATTTTTCTTTTTTCTTTATTGTATTCTTTTTTTACTTTTAATTTTAGGTATTTTGATTTATTATTTTTTTCATCAATATATTTATTTTATTGAGAAAAAATAAAGGGTTTAAAAGTGTCACATAATAAATTTGAAAATTATTTTGAAAAATGTTAAAGCATATATTAAAGATATTTTGAAAGTCGTAAGTCTAAATGTTTTCAATTTTTTTTATATTTCATTCAATTGAACTGCAAAAAAAGTTAATAAATCAATCATGAGGCAATTAAATTACTCTGATTCCTTACTATTCTAATAAATTAAATCCCATTCAATTCAAATCTCTGAATATAATATTATTTTTAATAATTTACTATTACCTTAATTTAATGTTAGAAGTATTATTTTTATAAATTTAATATTATCTGAATTATTTCTATAGATATATAAAACTATTTTTATTTTTTATTTTAAATAACATTTTTCTTAAAAAAAAAAATCTCTTAAAAAAATTTAAAGCATAAAAATGTTTTGAATATTCAACATCAGATAATAGAGACAATGTGATTTTTTAATTATTTGTCTTTTAGAAATGTTTTTTTATTTTTTTAGACCAAACTTGAATATATCAGTTAGAATTTTAAAATCTTATTAGTGGTAGATTTTAATAGAGGAATTCATTAATTATTAATTTTTTATTTAAAAAATACTAATATTATCATTTATTTCTTATTTTTATAGATTAAAAGTAGTCTTAATAAAGAATTCTTTAGTTATGCACTTTTTTATTTAAAAATACTCTACTTATCTTTATAAAATAGTAGACAAAAAGAGTTATAAGCATTGATAGTAAATTGAAATAGTATGAATTAGATCTTTTTAAAAATCTGTTAATAATATTGTTCATATAATTTGAGGAGAAAACAATAATTTGCTAATACTATGCTTGCTATAGATTATTTAGATTTTTCAATTTGGCATATCTATTTTACATATACAGTATGTAAATATTTTCAGAAAACATTTTTTGAGTTCAATTTATTATATTTTTAATTCTTTTTTTTATAACAGAGAAGACTTTACTATATGGATAGCCTATATGTATTTTTAAAGTGAATATAGAATTATTCAAATCGAATTGTTTTCTAATAATAATTAATTTTTATTTCTTAATTCAATAATGATGATATATCTATTTAGGCTTAAATAATTAATAATTACATTAGATTTAGATTTTTTCATTTAATGTATCTTTCAAAAATCCTTTTTTAATCTTTTTTTAACAGTATTTACATAATATTAACAAGCCTTAAATTTATTTTATGAGTGAGCAAATATTTAAATTTTAATCATCTAACTTGAAAGCATTATAAATGTAAGCATATCAATTCATTGATCTTAACAATTTATATAAGTTTTTCTTTTAGATAAAAATTAATCTAATAGTTATATTAAATAGATTTAAGAAGTTGTTTTAATAATTTTTGTATATTTAGGAGGTTAAATGAGTTATAAACATAGTAAATTATATGATTTATAATATGATTTTAATAGCAAACATTCCATTTATCTATATACTGTATCATAATTTAAATGTCAAATAAAACTTATATTAAGTTTATTTTTAAAATTAAATACGTAACTTCCTAATTCATTTTGTGAAATGATTCTTTACTCTTCTTTCTCAAGCACTTCATGATATTTTTTCTTTGATAACTATTATTATAAAACTTGGTTATAAAATTTTGTAACAATTACCACCATTTTTGAAATTCTTTAAACATTTTTCATGAAAACTTTTTACAGTATGACTAAATAGAAGAGTTTTAGTATTTTTACGTTCTTTTTTGAGAAAAAAATTTAGTATTGTAATTAATATTGATAATATGGATGCTTTGCAGTAAAAAGAGTAAAAGGAAGAAAGCTATCAAAAAAAAATTTACTTTATAATCAAAGCCTATATGTATGTAAATCATATATTTATATGTAAAACTAGTTAGTCGAAAATGTCATATTTATATCATATGATATATTATAAATATGATTTAAAGCATTATATTATCATAAACTTTTATATTATTGAAAGGAAAAATAAATTAATAATATTACAGAAAATTGTTCATATACTTTATAATATTTATTGTTAAGGAATCATCATTGAGTTTTCATAGTGAAAATATTCTTTGTAATAATAAATATAATGCAGTAATTAGTGATTTAGGAATTAGTCAGTTAATGAAAATAATAATTCCTTATGTTGCTTCAGAGATATTGCAAGGGCAAACAAGTAATAAATATAAAAATCTTAGATATTTTATAGATTTAAAATAATTATGTGAAGATTAATAATTAATATTATGATATAGTATTTTTATTAGGATTTGTGATGATTTTCATCCTTCTATTATCACAAATGTACCTGAAGGATATATCAAATTAATGCAAAAATATTGGTATTTTGATCCAAAAAAGACTAATAACTGAGATTATTCTTGACTTTATTAGTAAAATCATTTTGAATGAAAAAATTAACAAATAGAAATTAGCAATTCTCTGGATATTAAACTAATGAATATAATTTTAATAATATCTGCAAAATCTACAAGAAATTCAAAAAGTATATTTAGTAAATAGACTTTATTTTAATATTAATAATTACCTTTTATTTTTAATTCTTATATGATTACTTAATCTTATTTATTTTTTAAAAGTAAAAAAAATTTGAAGATAATAATGATAAGTTTATTTTTATATCAAATAATAATCAATAAAAATACTTAATGTTTTTCTCTATTATTTTAGATGATGTAAATATTAAAAAATCCAAATTTAATGAAAATGATAATAATAATATTAAGTAATAAGATTTATAATAAAAATAATATTTTTATTACAATTAATATATAATTAATTATTTTTAATTTTACTTAGATTATATTTCTAAAAAACTTGATTTTAATATTTTAGTTTTTTGTAATTAATATTTTATATTTTACATTTCACAAAATATTAAAATATATGTTATATATTAATGAAAGGATCTTTTGAATATTGCAAATAAATGTTTAGAATATAATATTTTTAATTGCTCAAGTAATTATATTATTGTATTTTATTATCTAATATATCTCAAAATAAAGTAAATCTGATAAATATATAGGACCTTTGCAATAAAAAAGAAAAATAGCTAAAAAAATAAAAATGAGTTAATATTAAATCTAAATGAATATATTTAGACTTAAAATTATATTTAACATATAAAGTAGAAATTTTGTCTAGCAGTTTTTCCTATTGATCCTAAATAATACATTTATTAATCATATTATTTCTGATAAATATAATCAAAATCACTTTAAAATATCAAAAAATTCTTATCTTAATAAAATTGTGATATTTTAAATTTAGTATATAAAGCATTGATTATGTGACATTTTAATTTGAAATTAGATTAGTCAGATTAGATACTATTTTTATATCGTTATATTATTTACAACTGAAAGTCCTTTTAATTTATTCTTTATAATATTAAATAAGTATTGTGGCTTATGTAAGAATAATTAGATATGCTATAAAATCTCAAAATCCAAAATCTTGAAAAGTCAAAATCTCAAAACTCTAAATTCTAAAAGGTCTAAAATCTTGAATTTTAAATTCTTGAAATTCAAAATTCTGAATGATTATGAGAATTATTTTGAGAATAAATTCCTATTATAAAAAAGTAAATAGGTTTAAATTGCATAGATATGATCATATGAGAAGTTACTATATCTCATTGACCTATATCTATTCTATAAACTTTACAATATGATAGTATACAAATTAATCTAAGAAACCTCATTATATAAAAATAATAAAAAAATCCTAATACTTGTATGCTTTTAATCATTGTCTATTTATTAATAATATTTACTTATAGCAATTATATTTATAATATTATAGTAGAATAAATATAATTAATTTATTAATGATCTATAATACATATAATATAAATATTTGTCTTTACTCACAATTATACTTCCAATAAGATTGTTTTCATTTCTATACAGTTAAACTATATGACCTAATAAAATTGTTTAGATTCTCAAAAATCTTATCAACAAGACATTAATTTCATTTATAAAATACTAAATGTTTAAAAGTAGATAGCAATAAAGTAGTTTATTTAATTATCATAATATTTTCAGCATCAGAAAATAATCTTTCATTAAAAGCAGATATTATCAGAATAGTTAAGTACTTTTTGCTAATTATGATAAGATTGAAAAGTATGATTTCTGAGATACTTACCATTTAAAAGAACAAGTACTAAAATCTGTTTCTTTTATTATTATATATTTCTCAAGTTTATAATGCCTTTCAGATCAATAATGATTAGCAAATATATTTTAAAGAAAAGAATTTTCAGGTGATTATAATGGTTGCTGTTAAACTATGCCTAAATCTTCTTTAGTTTTTATATAAATTTCTCTTAAGAGAATTTTTATTTTAATTATTTATGATTCAGATATAAAACTAAGAGATTTACATTTTAGATCTAAGAATGCAACTATCAAACCTTCATCTTGAGGTATATTTCAATAATATTTCATTGCTATATATAATGCAGATTTAACCTTTCTAATTGAATCATTACAGTTTTATAATACATTTATTAAAATTTTTCGTCACTTTAGATGATCATCAATTTTATCATCATCATCTGGATTTTTAATACTAATATCATTATTAAAGATTATTATAGGATTAGTAAGATCAATTTCTTTAAGATTTATTTTACTAGAACTAATAATCCTATTTGTAATTTCTGTAATTGCATTATATATAAAGCTTATTGTCATATATTGAAGTTCAGTTTCTGATGCAAAAGATTTTAATATTATAATTAATTATTTGATGATAACCTACTCATCTCCAGTAAGATTAATTTCACTATCTGTTTTTATCTTTTGTGTTGTAGGATCTTTATCTCTTAACATAATTATTGATATTACATCAATATAATTATGAATTTTTTCTAGTCAAATTTATGCTAAGTATGATGAATTCTAATAGATATTTATATCAGAAATAAGTCTAAGATAGTGATCATTTTTGCTTAGATTCTAAGATTAAAGGAATTAAATATCAAAGATTAGAAAATAATTTGATTACAATTATAAGATTTATTAAATTATTAAATTTACTTTTTCCTGATTATGCTTTATATTTTTTTAAATTTTAATTAATTGTTTAGTTTATTTTGGTATAATAAAGAAACTGATTAAATGTTTTACTTATGCAATTAATCTCTCTGTTAAAATAAACACTTTTCTAATACTAATTGAAGTATATAAGCTATATATAGTAAATGTAAAATTTTAAGTAGTTTACCAGCTTTAACCATGTTGTTTTCGTTATTAATAGTTATTGTAAAGATTTTTTCTTCTAAATTCCATTTTTTAATTATTTAATTAAGACAATCAACAATATTTTCACTTATATGTAGATATTTAAATATTCAATTACCAAAGTAGCTTTACAAAGTTTAAATTGAGTATTTACAAATGAACAAGTTATATCTAATTAACCAGCTTTGCTCTTTGATATTAAAGGTCTAAGGTTAAAGAACTTGATATAATATCTTATTTAAATAGATGAATAATTTCTTTTTTACAAAAATTGTAACTCTTAACTAGCAGTTCTCTCACTTTTTTATCGCTTAGAAATTCATAAAGTGGATCTAATTCTTTTACAAATTTGAATAAAAAAAATTAAATTAATTCGATTTTATTAATTCTTTATTATTTTTAATGCTTATTGGTTAATCATCTTTTATAATAATTCTAATAAACTTCCTATCTAATCAATTTTTTTTGGCAGAAATATTTTGAGTTACTTCAACATTTTTATTATTCTAATACGATACTTCACTAAATAAAAAATAAAATTTTTAATATTATCATTAGATTCCATTATATATCTACAAGGTTGATCAGAAATTTTGACAAGACACTTGATACATTTTTATACTTTTCTGTAGATAGTAACTTTTCAGATAATTTCAAATAAAATTTTGTTTATTATTAATATCATTAGAAAAATTCGCTAGTTTACTTTCTTATTCTATATTTTCAATAAGAACTTGTGGTTTATTTGCATCTTTTTCTCCCAAAATATTTCACTTGATATTGTTTACTAAGTTTAAATTACCTAAAATTGAATCTTATAGTGAATCCTGCAGTAGATCTTACAATACACGTTTTGTTTCTATTTCTATATTTCTTGTTTTATTTGTTTTTTTGTTCTTTCTATAATTTTATTTTAGAGCTTTTTTATTTTTTTTTGTTAATTTATAGTTCTCATAGTATGTAACCACACATAGTAAATATGAGAAAATAATGAAAAAATCATATAATGAAAACAAAAAAAAAAAAATATTAAGTAAATTCTAAAGATAGATCCTTTCAATGATCAAATACAAATGGAATTATAAATTTTGAAATTTTTTTTTTAATTTTAAATATTTACAAGTATATTTGTTTTTTTTATTTTAGTTAAAATGGTAACGCATATTAAACAAACATTATGAAATCATATCATATTAATCAGTTGATATACAATTTATATCTAGATATATCCAATAATGCTGATATCTATTGTATATTATCCAGATATCTAAAATTTTGTGTTCATTCAATCTGGCTATTCAAATATTTATTAGATATCTGTTTTTAATAGATAATGAATATAAACTTTATTTTAAACAATTTAATATATCTAAATAAATAAAATTTATTATAAAATAAATTATTGATTAAAAAATTTGTTAAATTCATTTAAAATTTTATTTTACGAGATCATTGAAATTGCTACACTACAAATATATTAAAAAATATGATTGCAAATGTGACAAAATACTTTTAATGATAATTACAATTTTTTGCTAAATCCTATAGAACTAAAGAAAAAATAAGAAAAAAGACTTGAAAATTATTATACATAAATTTAGTTTCAATTTGATTAATCAAAATTAAATATTGAATTACTAAATCAAATCTTAGAATAATATTCAGTAATATTTTAAAACTTTTCTAAATCTTTATGATAAGTAATACATCTTTTATTCTATTAGAAAGGTTATGTAGGTTCACCATAAAGCATTGGAATTTTTTTCTTATCAATTATAATCTTGTAAGGTTATTTGACTAATACTTTAAAATATGAATAAGGATTATATATATTGGTTACAAATCCCTTTAGATCCTGTAAATACATTTCAAGAGTATTTTAAACTTTTTTTATTTCTTGGATTAGGAAGATCATTTGTTTCAATGCACTAAATAAAAAATAAATATGGGAATAAAAATAGTATAATTTGAAATATTATTAGATATAATAGTCCAAACAGCATATTTTATTTTTTTTTAGCTGAAATAAATTTCATATTTCTTATTCGAAAAGTAAAACATTGGGAGAGTAGTGTCAGGAATATTAAGTGTCTGAATTTGTGTTCAACATCTGGTAGTAAATTTTAATTTTTCATAGTTTGAGTTTTAATTTATTATTTATTCTAGTACTAATAATATAATCCTTATTCATCTTTTAAAAAGCTTTACTTAATTCTGTAATTTCCTTGAAATCATTAATTTCAAAATTGAAAAATACATTTAATTGTAGTTTGAATACTAAGGAAATTTCTTGAAATTTTTTCGATTGGAAGTAAAAAAACTGTTTGACTATTTTATAAAAAAAAAATGATTATACAGTTTATCTAATTGATCCATATTTAACTAAATTCAAATGAAAATGTGATCTTAAACAAGTTTTTTAATTACACTATCAATTAATAATTAAAGAATAAAAAGTGGATTAGTTCAAAAAAAGATTATTTATAATTTTGTAATAGAAATTAAGTTGGCCAAAACATATTTAAAAATTAATAGTAAGGAAAATACAAATATTAAATAGCTATAGTTTACAATCAAATAGAAAATTAAAATAAAAATAAATTATAATTTAATACTAAACTTACTTCTTAAAAAAATATTCAAATTTGCAAGAGATTTTTCTGGTTTAAATAAAAAAAAATTAAATTAAATTAAATTAGATGAAAAATATTTTTTTATGAATCAAACATGATAACTAAAATAATTAAAATAAACCACTGATTAAGTAGGAAAAAAAATACTTAATAATGCAATCTAAGTATTTGATGTCAAAAGAAATAAAGAAATCTCCTAAAAAAAATCATTTAATTAATTTTTTTTTTTTACTAAAATTATAGTTAGATAATTTAGAAAAACAAGATGTAATGGTATACAGGCATTGATTAGATAATTGATGATATTTAACCAATTAATATTAAAGGATTGATTGCAAGTTTTTTAATTCTAATTTGCATTACAAACCTAAAATTATTTAACTTTCTTTTTGTTTTTATATTAAATAATAAAGCTTTCATTTATGTGATAATTAATTTATTTATTATTTCTTAACTTCTGCTTATTCTTTTTGTTTTGAACTTCCAAACCATTTGAACTAATCAATTATCAACTCTTCATAATATATCATAGTCTATTTAGATAGATAAGATACTGTAATTCATAAACGGATCATGTATATAATATATTTTTCAAGAAGCAAATGCATTAATTTACATAAAAAGGAATTTTGCAAAGTGATTCTATGATCTGCCCTAAATCTTTAGTAATTTCACATATTCATTCTTTAATAAATTAAGGTGTTAAGAAATATTATTTAATTTTAGCAAGTTAATATTATTTCTTGATGAAAGTATAGACTGAAAGGTTTGGTTTTACTTTAGTTTTGAGCAATTTTCATGTTTTTATAACATCAATGAATTATCTAAAAAAAGAAAATGTTCTCTTTGAGAAGAACATATATATGTGACAGGAGAAACTAAAAAAACCTCATTTATTTTATTAAAAAAAAAGAAGTTATAATTACTTATCATATCTAATAAATATGTTACCTTTTAGTATAAAACTAGAATGGAAATTATAATTTGCTTATAAGATTCATTATGAAAAAAGCTTGCAATGAATAAATATGATTCATTATTTGTCTAATCATATGATAACAAAATAATAAGAAATTCTAAGAAGAAAATCAAGCGTTCTTTAAATTTAAATATATTAATGATGTGTTTATGGTTATTTGAGTATAAATGAATGTTTATTTATAACTTATTAAAAGGAATTCTGATAAAAAAATTGAAGTTTCAGTTGATTAGAAGAGTTTTGTAATCCTTGATCAGAAACTTAAATTTGTTACAAAATATTTTGGGTAAACGTTTTGAGTAGATGTGTTGAGTTTTAAGATGGTTAATATGATATTCAAGTAAAGAAATAAAGAAGCAGTTGTAGTAGAAATTGGGAATCAACTTGACAAGAAACAACAGACTGGAAATAAATATAACTAGTAATATAAATAGTCAAGAATTTTATCCCTTTAATCGATTATGTTAGAGCTCAAAATTTTCTCATAAAGATGAAGTTTAGCAAATAATGTAAGTAGTAGTTAATTATTATGTTACATAAAAATATCTTAAAGACTTTTTTTTCCTTTTATAATAATTAATCCTTTATAGATTTAGTAAAATAGTAAAAGAAATTAGTGTGGTTTGCGTAATTATCTCAACAGTATTATGATAGTTTTATAACTTCAAATAAAATCTCAAAAGGGTAAATAAAACTAAAACAATTACTTAAGAAATTATAGGTGAGGATTCATAATGATCGAAGAATTATTCTTAATATAAATACATGAGATAAATACAAAATACATACAAAGATAACTCAAAGATATTTCAAAGATTATGCTTTAGAGACTCTGAATCAATATAGCAAATCATTACAATATCATATAATAAGTTCACTAACAATAATTAAAGGAATTACATAAATGTAAAGGGTCACAGATAATTTATAATAGTTTCAAAAGGTTTGCAAAGGATAAGTTTTATACTTAGTTAATTATACTTCTTTATTGATATAATATAAGTTCAGTATCTAAAAAATTAACATCTCATTGGTGTTGAGACTTAAAGAAAATATAGAGATATTTATACATATTGAATAAATAATAAAATAAACTAAACTAAATATATTAAAAGAAATAAAGTTGCCATTTTACTAAGCAATAAAGTTGCTGTGTTAATAAAATTGCCAGATTTGCAGGTAACTAAATGAATATCTATAATATACATGATTATCAAGGGTAATAAAATTAACATCTAAAGATTTACATAATTGATCGATGGCAATAAAATGGATAAATGATCTTCATAAAAGATCTATATAGCAATAAAATTGACTTCATATTCTACCAATTAAATCTATCTAAAATTTTACCTATCATAATGGTAATACTATCAATCCATCACAATAGATAATTATGTATAATCGGTCAGTATAAATTTTCTAAATTCACTGTACTAATCCTTCTCAAACTCTTCTATCAGACCAAAAGATGAATTAAAAGTTCATATAAATAAAATTCTATTTGTAATAAATTCTAGCCAAACTGAAGATTGGTAAATATTAGTAAATATCAAGAATTAACATCTTTTCAATAAGTTATTTTTAGAAGTAGAAGTATATGTTGATAATATTATTATAGTTATTATTATTTCCTTCAAAAAATGAATAATATTTATGATGACACATCTTCATCACATTTCACATGCATTTTAGCAGAGTTCGAGTATTTAGCATAATTCAAAATATATTTATATTATCCTTTTTGGATATTGTAAGAATTTTAAATTTTATTTATATACAATAATTATATTACAAATAATTTTTAAAAATGATGGAACCTTTATTTATGATTTGTCAACAATATATTTTATAAAAACTATTATATAATTCATATAATAAGACTAAAAAGATCAAAAGAAGAATATAAATAAAATAGATAACTTACAAGATCGATCAACTATTGACTATATTCTAAAGATGAGAGTATCCAATACAGTTCATCGATTATGACTGTATTATAAAGATAGATGATATCTAATAAAACTCAGATTGCGTGAACACTCACTTATAAAACAGTTTTTGATTAACTTAAAAAAAGGGGTATAGTAATTTCTCTTTCAGAAATTGCAGATACTTACCTATTCACGAATAGTTATACTGATCCTTTAATTATAAATAATTGTAGTCAGTCCCCTCATCTTGATATAAGAAGGTTAAAAAAATGGTAAAGTTACAAAAATCAAATGATTGTATACCTTCTACATTTTTTATTTACTTCTTTATTGTTGACTAATAAATTAAGAATATAAATCATTAATAGGATTTTTTATTAATACAGCACATTTTTTTTTTAAAAAATTTTTTTAGTCTTGTCAATATGAGTTATTATCTTTTGTGAGAAAAAGGAAAAAGGAGGAAATCTAAAATCTGAACACAAAATAAAAGTTAACCTTCAGATATATTCATCTATTTAAAAATAAATTATAGAAAAAGAAGTGGAAAAGAAATTAGTTATGAAATCTAAGTAAAAATTATCTTATAAAAAGGTAATAAATGCAATAGGTCAGAATATCAGTTACGCTAAAAAAGGAGTAAATATCAAAAAGAAAAATTTTTAAAGAATGACAAGTGGAAAACTATTGTCGATAATAATAGGGTACTACATAAAAAAAAGAATAAAGAACTTACCAGCAGGTTAAGATATAAAATCCAAATTTTAACTATAGCAGAAAGATAGACTCTTAATGAAAGAAAGTTAAAGCTGAAATAGTTTATTCAGGTGAGCACAGTTCATTATGAGAATTTATTTTGTAAAAGGGATATAAAAAAGAAAAAAATAATGAGAAACTTGTCTGCTACTTTGTTTCTTTATAAAGGAAAAAATAAGGATAATAGCAAATATTTGATCATGTGAATATTTTTTTAAGCCTGCAAATGCTTAATAAATAAAAAAAAGGAATGCTTCATTTTTCGTTTTTATTTCCATATATGTTAATTGAATTCTAAATTTGGCCTTATATTTGTATATGATATAATTCTAAAAAAGAAAATTTTAATATTCTAGACGGAATTACGTGTTGTGTGACTTGTGATACATATGCAAAATATGATGAGGACTTGTTATTTATCACTGACGTAGCTTAACCTGTCACACATTCTAGACGTGATATCTTTATAACCAAAAAAGTATATTTTGATGCATCAATATCTCTCTAATTCTTACCTTCAAAATATTTTTAAATCTAGTTTTAAAAATAAAAATACGCGTTTACAAACAAAAAGAAGATGATGAAAATTCGTAACGGTGAATTGATATTTAATTTCATCTAAAAGAAGATTGTTGAATGCATCTTAAGGATTTCCTGGTTATTGCCTGAGTACTTGATTGTTTAGTATATTCTTAAATACACTTTTGAAGTAAATGCGGAGTCTGTCAATTATCACTGTTTTAATATACTTGCTTCAAGTGCTTATTAAGGATTCCTTTGGCTACGCTAGCTTAGTATATTCTTAAACAAACTTTTGAAATAAATGTGAAGTTTGTCAATTGTCACTGTTTTAATATACTAAAACTTCTCTTATCAACTTTATTAATAGCTGAAATTCTTGAAACTAAAATCAAAGCGTTAATTGGAGTTATCTAACAGAAGTATTTAGTATAAATTTGGTTTTATTTATTAATGTATTTTTTGTCTTCTTTCTAATGTATTCATAGATTTTTATATTTATTTCTTACTCATCATATGTAACAGGATCAATCCGGATAGACACATAATCCACATTATCGTTTAGTAAAATTTTTCGCACACATTTGTATCCTGATGAGATAATTTTAAATTGTTACATCTGTCGTAATGCATAAAGCCTTAATTTTTAGATTAAATGTTTAATTTAAAAACCATAGTAAAGAGTGGTCTTATTTAACGACTCCTAAAAAGAATGTTCATTATGTATTCTTTTTTTGACAAGCACTCGTATCAAATTGAGCTTGAAAGCGAACAAAGAAACTGGTTTTATACCCAAAGGCAGTGATGTGCACTTGGAAGATTGCAAGCACTCTTAGAAGCACTTTTGGAAGGGTTGGAAGCATAATTCTCTAATAAATTCATTTGGTTTGGAAGCTTCCAATCAAATTTTATACTATTGGAAGCATAAAATGCACATCACTGTCCAAAGGACTGGTAGTTTTATTTTATCTATATTGTTATTTGTAAAAATCATTTAACTCATACGGCTAATCCTTAGTGATATTTCCTGCGATTCCCTGCACCAATAATTTTCTTTTCTTTTCATTTATATTTTCTCTCAAAATTTCGTGTATTTTTTTTAAATTTTTTTTTTTTGATTTTTTTATTTTGTATTTTTTTTTTTTGAATTTAAAAAATTTTTTTTTTATTGAATTGATTTTTTTTTATTTGATTTTTTTTTAACTTAATCTTTTATAGATTCGCTTTATTTAATCCCATTTATCAGGTATTCAGCCCATACTGAATTTTTAGGATCATTCATTATATTATTTTATAATTCTTAATCCTGCTTCTTTAACAAATCGTTAGTAATTTAAGTGTTTTTGTTGGCAATGTGGTTCCACGTTAAATTTGAAATTCCAAAATTGCAGCAAATTCGACTATAATATTAGCCGAATTTATTTTGCAAGACAAATTCCCTCTGCTTTTAACTGACGGCCAATGTTTGAAGAATCTAATCGATTAAAAATTAAAAGCCATTATAAATGGCCGGATCATATGATTTACTAATTTGTATATAAATTTTAATCAAGTCCAAATTCTGAATAAAATTTTATAACAACCAATATTTTAATGTTTAGATTCTCCGGTATTTCCCCGGGAAGATTTTTTATTTAAGTTTTTCTGTAGCAATCACGTATGAATTTGGTGAAATGCGTGAATGCCTTTGTCCAAGTTTGTGGTTAATTATTATTTTTTTTTTTTGCATTTAATTTATTTTTAATTTCAGTGTCCTTATTTTTTAACTACCTTTTACCCTTTCAAATAATTTCCAAACTTGTTCTAGGTGCGTTCAAATGATAAGTTTTAATTTTAATAAAAGTTAAAGGTGTTCCAACCTCATTCTTTTCTAATTTGATATTCGGAAAATTATGTGAAGTAAGTTGCTTCTCGATACTTATAATATTTATTGATCATTAATTTAATGATTAAAATAATTTAAATATAATTTTAGATTTCTAGTGTCTTCACAAACTTTGGAGGCTTCCTGTACATTACAAAAATAAAATAAGGATTAATCCAAAAAAAATAGCGTAATGATTAAAGAATTAACATAAAAAAGATTACCTAATACTTGTGGAATTGAACTAAAGAGTAAAATTCGGATGAAAATTTCAAAATATCCGATAACTGCGTCAAAAGTATCGAACCCGAAATGCAAATAATACCATTCAAAAAAAAAATCTTTAACCATGCAACCTGAAGTAATCCTATCTGAAAACATCTCTTAAAAATGTCTAAAAGAAAAAAGAGAAAATAATGTTATAAAGAAAATCCACAAATAATGATAAAAATGGTGATAATTTTAGTAATAAGGAAAAAATTGACCGACCAGAATTGATTAATGGGAGGTTTATAATTCTTTCATAAGGGCAGACATTCCATCTACGAAAAACTTGACATTGTCAGAAAATATCCAAGATATAACACTAAAAGGTTGTGACACAATTGTTTTTTGGTATTTTTCAACAAAGTTTCTTTAATTTATTTCATTCTAACCTGGAATATTTAAAAAATGACTCGTGTATAGCAAATGGAAGAAAAATGACGAATTTTTTGGAAGAAAAAAAATTTTAACAATAGTTCGTGAATAAAGAACGGTTCTTACAGTGCAATTCCCTTATAAGGGGTTTAACAAATCATCATGATTAGGTGATAACATGTCTAGAGGCACCAAGAATATGATTTATTCCAATTCTCCCTGGTTAGATAAAAAAGATGAATTTGAATACCGACGATTCTTATTCGAAATAAATTGTTAAGCGTCATATAAGTACACGAATCATTACCCATGAATAATGCAATTAATTCAAAATTTAATATCGTATATTCTTCGTCATCATAAACTTGAACGGAAACATTTCTTTTCATAACAATAGGAAACCTTTGTCGCCTTCATAAAGAATTGTTTTATTTTAATGTCTTGCAACTAGTAGAAACATTTTCTATATTAGCAAGAAATTAATTTAGGGACGGGAAGGAAGCTATATTTATTCGTCTAAATCTTAATTAATTTCATAAATTGAGGTAGATGTTTAGTTTCATTGACCACATTGGTATCCTTTTCTTTACGATTTTATGGAATGCTTTGCCGTATAAACATTTAAATCATCTTGATTTGCTTCAACTTTTTGAGCGATTTATGGCCAAAATTGTTTATCCTCTACAGCATTCAAAAAAAGTGTAAAAGATTTTAGGTAACCTTTAATAAAATCGACAAATATTCTAAACTTGCGACGCTGATTCAATAGCCTTTTTTACTTTTTTTACTTGAGAAGCATATAATTTTTTTCGAAAAAGCAAAAAAAGTTTAACTAACCCAATTTTAGTCATACATTACTTTATTATCTCCGAGACTTTTCCCATAAATTAATAAATTTTTAATTTATTGAGCATCAAAATGACTTCATCTAAACAGGAAACTCTACGTCAAAGAATTTTACATTACTGGAGGAAGAAAACATGCAATGCTATTGAAATACACTCATTGACGAAGATCCCACCTACCGAAACAATTAAAGTTACTGGAGAAATTAAACGTAAAAGTGGTAGTGGGCGTATTAAAATAATAACACCAAATGCATTCCGGGTAATTGTACAATATATTCGAAGGGAGCCTTCAATTTCTGCCAACTCTGTTGCTGCTAAATTGGAAGATGTTGCTCCCACACAACAACTGAATATCAAAATGAACTTCCCCTTCGCACACTGATATATGTTCATAGGGTAAAAAGTCTTGGAAAGGATTCCTGATGAAATTATTATAAAATCCTTTAAAACTTGTGAAATAACAATTGATCCTGATTTAGAGATCCTTGATATGTATGACGACGATATCGAAGACAATATCAAAGATCATGTTTAGCGTAATTTGTTTTATATATGTATTTTATAAAATTAATTTATTTAATTTATTTAAGTGCTTATTTTCGGTACTTATTTTCGAGGAATACTGTATATATTAAATATATGCTTAAATTTATTTATCTAAAAATCATTAACCAAAAATTTTACGATATCAAGATCATCATAATTAATAAAATCGTCATTTTTTGAATCATCACTTTTTTCATTTTCTTTACTATCTTTATAATTATTAAATTGTCTTTTAGGATCATTAATACTGTTAAGCTCCAAAATTACTTTTTTAATGTCTGGTCTTTTATTTGGGTCATGATCCCAACATTCTATTTAAATAAGTAAATTAAAGATTAGATTTGTAATAATAAGAATAAGTCCTATAGAAAAAATATTATTCTTACTTTTATAAAGCTTAACAAATATATCATTTGTTTTTGGAATAGGAACTTCTCTTTCACCTTTAAGAATTTTAAACCGAATAGAAGTATCACATGTTGTTTCAAAATTGAATGGTGATGAACAACTTGTCAATTCCCAGAATAATACTCCTAAGCTATAAATATCGGATTTTTTTCAAATTTTTTAGGATCCATATACGGTATTACACCACGTGTTTCGCTATGATTTTTTCCTTGTATACATGAACATCCAAAATCCGCTAATTTTATTTCATTTTGATGCATCAAGATGTTATTTGAATGCTGAATAAAAAAATTTTATTATTAGCATAATAAAATCAAATAGAAACTACAAATAATTAACTTACGAGATCGAGATGTATAATGTCATATTTATGTAACCATAAAAGTGCACTCGCGATGTCGTTGGCAAATTTCAATTGTCTTTCCCATCTGATAATGGCGTTGTTTCTTAAATATTGTCTTAATGTTCCTCCATCCGCAAACTCGAGAACAATTTCATAATTTTTTTGATCTTTATGATAATAATAAAAAAAAAAGTATGAGCAAATATCCTTAAAATAAATTACAAAATAATAATTATTTTACCTGTTAAATTCGTAATTCCAATAAATCTTATTATATTTGGATGTATAATATCATCTCTTTTTCTCATAAATCCCATTAAAAAGACCTAAGTAAAGAACACAATTAATCGAAATAACAATATGTATCATAATAAGCGTAATATCGAACCTCGTTCATAATACGCTCTTCCGTTGAACCTTCGTCAAATGTTTTGATTGCAAATTTTGTTTGAATAATGTCCCAATATGCTGCATAAACCGAAGCCGAACCTCCGGTACCAATTCTAGTAAGTGCCGTAAAATCTTGAGATTTAAGATAAGGAGCATCACAATCTTCGAGACGCAACAGAATGAACTTTAAAGGTTGAAGTATCTATTTTTGTAGTGGTACGACAATTACAAGAATTAGCAATTTGGGGACACAGCAGTGCTTAGATATTTTAGTGAAAGTTGTGAATATGCTATATATTTATATAAATTCGAAGTTACGCAATATGCGCAAAATATTTTTATTTATTTTTATAAAAAAAAATTACGATTACTGAAAAAACGCGAACAGATGTTGATTTTATTTTTGACGTTATTGGTATTGGTATCATCTACATACATTATAATAAAATATCAGCTAATAAAATTTGATTATGTTTGAGCTTAATAATCATAAAAATAAATTTGATTATTTATATAATTTTTAGATTTTGGTATTCTTATTTTAGATGACGATCGGTTTATCTAAGTGAAATGATGATCCATCCATTTTTTTTATTTGAGGTATTTGATTTTTGGCGATCTATGATAGGTTGGAAAATAATTAGGCTAATTATTATTAAATTTACGTGTTATATTAATTCTTGAATATTTATTGAAATAAATGAAAAGAAATAAGCAGATAGTTTAAGTAAATAAAAGATATAAGATTCTTTATTTATTTTTTAAACTAAGCCGTTTATGACTAAATAATATAATTATATTATTTAGTCATAAACGGCTTAGAATAGGTTATTTAGTAATAAAATAACCTAGATATGACGATTAAATAATTTAAATATAACTAAATAATCTAGATATAACTAAATAATTTAAATATGACTAAATAATTTAAATATAACTAAATAATCTAGACGTAACTAAATAATCTAGATATAATTAAATAATTTAAATATGACTAAATAATCTAAAACTAATAACCTAAATATGATTAAATAATCTAACTAAATAACATGTTTGTGACGATTTTTTTATACCTGGTTATTTTCTTATTATATTTCTTCCCTTTGAAATTGAATTTCTTTTCCTGTTTCCTATTTATCATTTTTGATCATGTGATTAAATAATCTAATTATGACTATGACTAAACAATCTGGATGTGCCTATTTTTATTAATGTTTGCGGTATTATAAATATTTTCTGATGTATT